ACGAACTGTCGAAGGTCTGCAGTTAACCAACGCAAACTACTCAGAAGCACTGACACTCTTAGAACAAAGGTATGGTCAACCACATAAGATTATTTCTAGCTACATGAAGGCATTACGGGAGCTACTATCAGGGGTAAATATCTCTTCTCTCGGGGTTCTCCACACGCGTCAGGGGGGGAAACTCGTCTCGTCTCTCTCTCGTCCCCTTGAGGTACGGGATCGGGAAAGTCACTTTAACTTTACAGTCAAATAAGGCACACACAACGAAATACGTTTCAACTCTCGTCTTAGTCGATCTTTTGGAGCACTCTATAAGACACAGCGCTCTGGGGAAAAGTCCCCAAGACTCTCACAAGGCTGAACCAAGACTCGCCCAAGACTGGACTGCCTCAAGGCTCGCCCCTGGACTGGACTCTCGACTGCGTCTGTCGTGGAGTATTCGCCAAGACCAACTCAAACTCTCTTTATTCATTTTCAAAACTCTAACCAATTACAAAGCAGTAAAAAGACTCTAAGGCGTAACCTTCAATCATAAAGCCAATCACACTAAGTACTGAATACGTCATATCTTTTGATTAATCGTTCACTACATTAATAACTATGGATACCAACTGTCAGAATCGCGACGGTTATCTGGTAATTAGTTCCAAATCACTGAGCCAAGTTCCGTCCAAAACTTCAAATAGGCCTAAACGATGACAGACATAACACAGCAATTCAGCTAATAATCAACTAATTAAGTCGGTTAACAGATACGCGAAAACAAATTCATGATACTACAACCACCCGATAATTCTTTATCAAGTATGACCAATTTTTACGACAATCTAGAAACCTACATTCGTGGATTGCGATCTCTTGGTAAAAAGGAGGATTCCTATGGCGATCTACTTGTTCCGATTATTTTCGAGAAGTTGCCTGCAAATACAAGAACCCAGATTTCACGCGAACATGGTAATAAGGCCTGGTCGATAACAGAATTGAAGAAAGCCATACACAAAGAAATCCAAGCTAGACAAGCGGGTAATCCGATAGAACAATTCAATGAACAACACGCCACTGAAAGATATTCACCCTCTACAACATCTTTTCATGTTGGATACAAGTCAAACAGATCTTGCGATTTCAAGCCTAGACCCATCAAATGCGCATACTGCAAAGCCTGCCCACTCAGCACATGCTTGTGAAATCATAATTGGACCTGATAAACGTATGGCTATAGTGAAAAGAGACAGATTGAGCTTTAATTGTATAGGACACCATAAAGTACACGAGTGCAAGTCTAAATATCGCTGAAAATTCTGTCACGGGAAACACCATTCTATGCTCTGCGACAATGCTAAGAAGACACCCGTGAAATCACAAACTTCCGGTATTGAAGACACACACGTCAGACTGACACCAACTACCAGTCCGGTATTACTTAAAACTGTCTCTGCGACTATCTCCAGTTCAAGACAGGGAACTTCTGTCAACATATTACTAGACGAAGGCGCCCAGCGCACGTTTATTACCCAAGATATAGCGGACAGACTTCAGATTGACACCCGGAAATGCCGAACAGAAAACCTAAATCTCGCTACATTTGGTGCTAACAAGACGACTGTTCAAGCAAGACCTATTGTTCATATCACCCTACAAACAAAGCAAGGACCGGTTTCCATTGACGCCCTGGTTGTACCAAGAATTTCCACTCCAGTCACTAATTACGTGAGTGTTACTGTTTCTAAATACGAGTATCTACAAAAACTCTCACTCGCACCTCATGTCGAAAAGGACACTTTCGAAATAGGGCTTTTGATAGGTGCCGACTACTATTGGTCCATTGTGCAAGATAACGTGATTCGGGGTCCTGGGCCAACTGCAGTTCAGTCGAAATTGGGCTATCTTCTATCTGGACCGACCAACATACATAACAATACATCAGTTATGAACGCTACGTGTTTAAAGGTTATGGTAGACAGTACTAACGACGAACTCAATTTCTCGCGATATTGGGACTTAGAAGCCATCGGTATTTCTCACAAAGAACACTCCCGTCAGACTGATTTCGAAGAGTTCAAAAAAAATAATTTGACCCGCATAAATCATAAAACTGTACCCCCTTGAAGTACAAGATATTAGTTTTAACAGTTCGTCCGTCAGCGATACAATTTCAGCGACTCAACGAACAATAGACAATGTGCAAACAACGCGTTCAAAAAGAATGGCTGCACTCAATGCAAAGGAATTTATTAGACTCTCGGGTTAAGACAATATGTAATCTGTATATCGTACTGTACTGTAAACAGTGTGCTTGACATTAGTTCGTTTGTTGTATCTAAATTCTTTCGTTTATTTTTAATTTACACATTCTCTATGTACTTGTATTCACATACGTATTGAATTTATACTACTTTCTTTGGATTACCGCGTAGATGTTCGAATTGTTATTATATTTGCTCGTGTTATTGTTTCGATATTTGTATTAATTCTTAATTTTCACTTTGATCGTTTATTATCTCGCTGGCCCGGAGTGTCGGAAAATCTGTGTAGTCGTATTATCTCAAACGCTGCCGCCATCAAACAGACTCTTACCGCATATTGTTCATGGCTGGTATTAGTAGATGGATTACGCAACATCCTGTGTGTAGATAGTTTTAATGCCGCCTTTCATGTCTGAATTTATATTTAGTATTAGTAGTAGTTGTTTACTTCAACTGTATAAACAACACGTGTTAA